CAGAAGACCATACACAGCAACCCGCTACTCCGGGAACGTCTACTGACGAGAATAACCCACTAGCACTCCGAAGACCAATCAGAAGCATGTACTAATAATCATCAATATCGCTTGATTGGTTCGGAATTGAACCCGACCTGCTGCTAATAAACAGTGAAGCGTGAAAGTGCCTCTGGTACGTGATTTAAGGATCACAGCAACCTTCAATGAATCTATCAAGAAATCTACAGACAAAAAAAAGGTAGAAAAGAAAACTGCCTTTGCGAAACTGTCGATTGACCAACCAAAACACACATCTGAGAAAAATAGATCGAGCCTGTGATCCGGTGTAGTTTTTATCGGCGCATTCACGTGAGCGGTATCATACGGCTTTGGCTCTACAATCTTTTGCCAATATCTACGATCTTCAATGTTGCTGTGCCCCTTTCTCATTTTCACTACCGCAGTATACATTCGACCCTTCACGGATAGCCCGATGTCGCGGCGGTGTCATACGTCTTAAGTTTGCAATCAGTAACCTAGCTTTTGTACCGATACTTCATCTGTGACACGTCCGTCAGGTAAGATATGGCGTTCCGAATAGCAAAGTTTATCTACTTCCCCAGTCAGGGTAAGGTTGGGGACTGGGCCAGCCCAATCTTGCAGCGGCATTTTACACTTTGAAGGTGCAAAACGCATACCAAACAGAAAAACTATCCCTAAGAGATTACAGCTTCATTTGACAGCACAATGTCGTCTGCATACCCCAGATCAGACAGTCTACCATCTGGGGGCAAATCGATGCTGCTCTTCGTGCACGAGGATAAGTCTGTTCCAAGAAATGAATCTATGACGAAATTAAAAAAAACGGAAAGAGGGCAACCCTTGAGAACACATTCGGTGGTGAGTTCGAAGGGAATATTTTCGTAATTTCGTACTCGGCTTCTGCTATTAGTATCGAGGGGTGTTAATATTGATCAAAGCTCCTCGGGCACCCTTTAGAGAGAGGCAGCGCTACAGTATCGAGCGGTAAACTGAGTCGAAAACTGCCTTCCGGTCGAGGAAGATAGAAATGGCAGGTCTGCGAAAGAAGTGTGTTCTAGAATTTAACGAAGAGTGAGGATATGGCCTATACAAGCTCAACCACGTCTAAAACCGTCCTGCTTTTCAGGCGTGCAGTGCTCACATGTGGCAGACAATCGACGGAATATACCAGCGAGAAACTTGGAAACCATATTGGTTTGTCTCTCTCGTTTTCGCAGTGATTTGTGGCCTTTCTTGTAAATCGGTATGATGACCGATTCACACCATTCAGCTGGAATCTGTTCCCTCCCACAGGAGTTTCGTCAACTTCATAACTAAGACTGGCCTTCCATCCCACCGATGGGGATAGCCCATCAGGGCCGAAGATCTTGCCGGTCAACCTCCATTTCAGATGTTTCTCTTGTGATCATACACCATTATAGGGATTCGCTACAAATGACTAGTAACTTGCCTGGAGTGTGTCGATTAAGGCTTCAATGAACATGTAAGAAAGCAATGGTCAAAACGCGAATAGGTTCAGTTATAAGACGTCCCTGTACAAGGAATCCACCGACTAAAACCATAAAATCTGATCGCGTTCATCTCACCTTGAATTATCTTGAGCTTGATATTGAAAGTCCGTGCAGGGAACGTGAGTGCAGGCATTGTGCATTACACAATACCGAATCTCCTGGCACACGGAGGGTGTAGCGTTAGGTCGAAAATAATAAATCGAGCCTCTGCTCTGGTGTAGGTTTTTTTCGGCACTTTCAGGTCTGCGGTACCGCTATTCACGTACATCTCTGCGGATACGTCTATGCTTCCACTCGGACGTATGGAGCATAAGGTTGCGAGTAAGAATACGTGATGCCTCTGTTACGCTGTTATTTTCTGGTCTAATTGAACTGGATATATGGACCTGTGACTGAAAAGTGTTGCTGTTTAGTCAGTGATGATTTATTTGGTATCATTCCTAGAAACTGGAGCATCAAAACTATTATGTCTCGATTGTGGGAATCCTATTTTTGCAATGCTTGGTCTGAACTTTCTGGTACTTTTGGTGTAGTCACATCGACTTTGGGTGTTGATGTAAGTGTTAGACATCGTCCTAGTGGTTGACAGTAGATCACCGTTGCGTTCGGTGACTTGGAAAAGTTGTTCATCCTTTCGTGATCTACCGTTGCATCAAGATTTACCGTGGTTTTGGTTAACATTTCTCCCACAGGGGCTTTCCTTGTGGTTGTGCTGCTCTTCATACGCTCTGCGCATACATACTGTATTACTTCTATGGAGTGACTTACAAAGAAAATGTGTATCACCAGACTGACACCACTATCACATTGTCGGTGGCACTACCGCTCGCATACAGCTCAGGGCTTTGCTCTTGCTGCCGACAGCTTTCGTGCATTTGTCGCACCGATTTACCAGTTCTGCAGATGGACTATCTTGACTTATCCCTTTAGGCGTCTGGGATAATTCGGGATTGAGAGGAATAATTAGATAGATCGGGAAGAGGTTTCTCCGTCTGGGTGCCTAAGACTTTAGGGCACGACATACTTCGCGGTAGCCCACACCGACTGGTAAACTGCTCCTCACCGTGTTTTTTTTGTTGGATTGACTTCTCCAGGGGCGGGTTTGGATAGATCGGCAATAACACCGATCCCCCAGAACTGGTTCACCCGACGAAGGTGAGATAACTGAACACCCCGGAAGCGCAGATATGAGAATGGTGTGCTACACACACAAAGTGATCGATTCCTCACGGTTTATTGTTATCATCGCAACTCGCAGGTTTTATCGTCTCATATAAGATGTAACGGTATGATTATGAGATATTGGAGACAATTGTTCGCGCGAAATTGTGTTCTGAATTAATAAGACCATAACCACTGCACGTCAAGCTCGCGCTATTGAAATCCGGCACAAGCCAGCACGTAATGGAGGGTTCAAGGTCATGCATTGAGTGTTGCGGAACCGGCCTGAGAGGGGTCGAACAGTCACGGTCAAGATTAATGAGATCAGGCTACACTAACTGATCCACTTTTTGCAAAAGCTGTTCGTCAGGGTACTTCGTATCCCATGGTCAAAGGTCTGCGAGATATTGAGACAAACATATAGGCTCGGTGAATTCACTGAAGGTGCAGATGGATGAACCATTGTAGTGGGGCTGACCGTCATTACTGAATTACTGCGGGCACTGTTGGACAATTTACCAGGTTTTAAATTTCTATATGTACGCTACTGAACTTACGAGGTGCACTGAAGACACAGATTTGTCCTTGCAGCCTTTTCTCATTCTAAAATACAAGTGTTTCGCTGAAGTTTATTAAAATTCCTTTGGAAAGCAGTATCGGTGGTTTTTTTTATTCGATAAGAATTCATAGACGCAGAATCTGTAGATTGTTATTGTTAGTCTTGTCTGGGTGTCACTTATTGCTGTCATTTAATTCTCACATTTTGTCGAGAATGTTGTGCGATAAGTGCTTCTGCCGGCTTCCTACCCGAAACTTCGCCGGCCAAGTCCCAGCAGTGACGAAAAGGCCCTGAGCACTAGTGATTAGTCTCAACAAAGACAAAACCGCTATCCAACACTCTTTGTTTGCTCCACGTCAATTTAAGAAAAATTGCAGGTGGATACTCAGGAACTCCACTTATATTGTTGGTGTAACTGCGCACACTCAGTTGTTTACGATCTCTGCGGTGGTGGCCAATGAAAATTCACTTCTGTTGAATCTAATAGATGGCAAGGCTTCTACGCCTCATGATTGTAGTCATAGCAAATTCCACGCTAGATTAATTGTACCCGCAAGCAAGTCCTTATGGGATGATCAATGTAACATACAGTTCCAATATGTGACAATTAAATCAACATTTCTAATTGGATCAAGAATGGAGTCTCTGTGAAAGGGGGTACATCTTAATTCAATTCCTGAGAAGCTAAATTGAAATTATTATGGAAAATCAGCCGTTCACACTTTTTCAGTGTTCTGAGATCGACCTT